TACAAGAAAACAATTATAACTAATATATTTATTACTGCCTATTTAATTAATAATAAAAAAAGGAATAATAATGTAATTATCTAGTGTATCTTGCTAAACCCTAAACCCTAAACCCTAAATTAGTGTTATATAATGAGGTATATAAGAGACACAACACAACAAGAATTATCTTTTATTTTCTTTTCTTATTTGTTAGTTATTTGTATTTTAAGGGTTTAGGGTTTAGGGTTTAGGGTTTATGGTGTTATTATTAATAACACCATAAACCCTAACCCTAAACCCTAACGCTAAACCCTAAATCGTAAACCCTAATTAAAAAAGGAAGGGAAGGGAAAGAGAAAGAAAATAATAAATAAATAAACAATAAATAAATAAATAAATAAATGGATGAATAAGAAGAAAAAAGAGAATAACTTAGGTCTCTTTCTTTTTTATTGTTAATAAATAAAGAAAAGATATTTATATATAATAAATAATATATTTATTCATATATGTATATACACCACCATATACCTAGCTATAGCTAGCTAGCTAGCTAGCTAGCTATAGCTAGGTAGCTATAGCCAGCAATAGCTAGCTAGCTAGCTAGCTAGCTAGCTAATTAGCTAGTTAGCTAGCCATATTAGTTAGTTAGTTAGTTAGATACATCAATATAGACCTTAAAAGAATGTTATTTTTTCCCGTCTGTCTGTCTGTCTGCATGCATGCATGCATGCATGTATGGATGCGCATGCATGCATGCATGCATATAAATAAATAAAATAAATAAATAAATAAATAAATAAATAGATTTTATGGTCTAACTTTATCCAGACATTCCCAATCAAGTATAGAGTTTCCCCTAATAACAACCATACCTAACTCATTTCTTTCTATTTGTTTATTTATTCCTTTTCTTCCTCTTAGCTCTAATGCATTATCTAATACTATATTCATAAATGTATCATAACCACGCATTACTCCTACTACTCTTCTTCCTCCGCTTAAATGAACTGTATATACACCACAAATATACACACAAAAAAACAAACAAATACACATAAAAAAGAAGAAAAAAACAAGAAAAAACAAGAAAATTGTGTATTATTATGTATGTGTTTCTTATTATTATTTATTTATCTTATTTAGTTAGTAAGTTAGGGTCTATTTATATACATGGATGGAGGGATGCATAGCCTATATACAGTGTATACAATGCAGCAGCAGCAGTAGCAGCAGCAAAAACAGCAAAAGAAGCAGCAGCAGCAGCAAAAGCAGCAGCAGCAGCAAAAGCAGCAGCAGCAGCAGATTGTTGTGTTATTAAATAGTGTTAAGGGTGTCAGTAAAAAAGCAAATAAGAAAAAGAAAAAAAAAAAAAGACAATAAATAGTTATTTATATATAATTATTACTATTATTTATATTAATATTTATTTATTTATCTATTTATTTATTTATTTATTTATTTATTTATTCTTTTTACCATCAAGCCTCTTCTCCATGAAGCGACGAAGGTCTGCAGGAGGTCCTGCCTTGCCAATGACGGACGGCATCTTATATAAGAAAAAAGAGGGAAAAAAAGAGGAAAAAAGAAGAAATAAATATAAATAATAATGTTTTTTCTTTATTTTATTTGTATATATTAAGCAACAACTGTTTGTTGCTGTGCTCGTTGTATATATGTTGGGGTGTATATACAGACACAGCACAAGAAATGGAGGAGCAGCACAGACACGAGCAGAGAGAGGTATTTGTATGTAATAAATGATGAATAAATAATATTTATATATAAATATAAATAATATAATGAATATAAATAAGAAAAGAAATAAATTTCTTGGATTTCTTTTCTTAATAAGAAGAGAAAGGAGCAGGAGGTATATACTACCCTCTCTTTGTTTCTTCCTTGTTTTCTTCTTCCCTTTTGTTGCTGAGTTGTAGGGGAAGAAAAGGAGAGAAAGAAGAGGAAAAAAGTATAATTCGTAGTATAAATATATAATAAAAGAAGAAAAAGGATAAAAAAGAGGAAAATAGAACAAAAATGCAAGAAAACAATCAAGAAAAAAGAGAGGAGGCCCCCCGCATGCACGATAAGCTGGAGAGCGGGCGTCTGGCTGCTGCTGCTGCTGCTGCTGCATTTATTATATAGAGCAGCAGCAGCAGCAGCAGCAGCAGCAGCTGCTGTTGTTGCATGTGGGGGCTTGCATGGTAATCTGTTGCATAGAATCTTTTTTTTTTTCTTTTTTATGTATATATAAATATAAATTAGTTGTATAAATAAGAGAAAAACGTATAAATATCTGCAGATATACCTGCTACGGATGACGGGGCTGCAGCAACAGCAGCAGCAGCAGCAACAACAACAACAATAATAACAACAACATTAGCAGCAGCAGCATCAGCATCAGTATTAGCAGCAGACAACATAAATAATAATATATTTTATTTATTTATTTATTTATTTATTTATTTATTTATTTATTTATTTTTCTTCTTCTTCCTCCTCCTGATAGAATCTTCCT